ATTAAAACATGTCTCATTGATTAAGCTGACCCGGAGTGCTGTTTCGCAGGTAAACTCCTTACTCACTGCAGTGTGTGTGAGTGTGTCTGTGTGTGTGTGTCACAGTTATGTGATCACATCACAATGGATAACAACTAATTTGTTAGTCATACCACATTCTCCCACGTGCACATGAACATCTGATCAGCCATTATTGACCCTAAGACTGTGTTATAACTTTCTTTGTGCAAATGATCTCAGACCATTTGATCAGCTTTTGTTGGGATTTCAGTAGGGACAGGACACTCTCAGGAAAAGATAGCAAGGGAATGGGATCAAGAAACATTGAGAGCCTCAAATTCAAGTCACACACAAAATCTTGAGAGCCAGGTCCATGGAAATGATACAAGATTTAAATTAAATAAAAACACCTGTTGATGGAAGAGGAAATGACTATGAGAGAACAAAAGATCTGGAAAACTGAAAAAAAGATAGAGAGGAAAGTATCCAGAAAATCAGAAACCGAGAGAGAGGCTGGCAAAGAGATTGACGGGTTGTTCAGACAGCGTCTGGCTCTCACGACAGGGCATCTGACAGAAGTGTAAATCTCTCTGTTGAATGGTTCAGCCTGAACATATACACGGCCTTCTAACATACTTCTCAATAACAGACGGACACATGCACTGAGCGCCCTGGCAGTGCCAGAGCGACACATTCAGGTTTACCACTCAGCTATGTCTGTAGCACACATGAACACACACATCCCCATGCAAATCTGGGGAAAAGTGTGTAAATATATGTGTGACAAAACCATTCGTACACATTTAACAGTGCTATGCCAGTGAGACAAGGAGAACTAATGTCCGCCAAGTGGTTAGCACACATGCTCCAGACCTACTGAGCTACAATGTTCATGTTTGGATGTGGGTTTAAATCTGGCCCACGGCATGTCTCAATCCCATTCTGGGCTGGTAACCAGGAGGCAATCGGCCTTAAGACCCCAGGTTGCTGTAGAAGGATTTTGTAACACGTGTACTGTGAAAAGTATGCTAAATGTCTACAGTACTGCTTTATTCTATTCAACTCAGAAAGTCTGAATCTCCACTTTCAGTTGATGTCAAACTTCCATTTGAAAGCTTCCAATTTGAAAGCTCAGCTACAGTATGTAGTTAATAATAACTGTGCATTCACACCGCCGCCGGCGAGAGCGTCAAAGTGGCCGGAAGCCATTCATTTTCAATGAGAGCCGGCGGCGAGCTCCGGCGAGGGCGGCGCGGCGCGTCTTTGACGGATTTTCGCGCTAGAACGCTTGTTTTTCAGCGGGAATGCAAATAAGAATAGCACTTAACCATGAACACAAAAGCCACACCACACAAATGGCTTTTAATTGGTTTATTTCGTTAGCAAACATGTCACTATAAGTTAAGTTCTTTCCATCGATCAATTTTCTGCAAAAATAATGATCGACATGCTTGTTTGCTTTACAGCCCCTTTAAATATTTTTTAAAAAAAAAGACCAAACATTCGATCTACGTCAGAGCATCAGAGCGTTCACGAATCTTTCCACGGCGTCGCTGGCAGGGCGGCGAGAGCGAATTTTGCCGCTCTCGCCGGCGGCGGTGTGAACGTACAGTTAGCAAATGAAATGCATCGATGGCTCAGTTACATCACCTTATACTAAAACCTTTTTAGCAAACGTTTACATGGTAAATGATTGTTCCTAATGATATTCACACACCTAGCACTATTTTTTGCAAACATTACAAAAAAAAATTCTTGGTTACGCAAACATTAAGTACATTCGATTTTATCATTTTGCAAACATTATGGGAATGTTACTTTTGAATGTTCTAAAACATTCGGAACATTCTGTAGTAATATTAAAAAAATACTAAAATTAAAAAGAAATTTAAACGTTCCATGAATAATAATAATAATAATACTTAATAATTTGTTACATTTATATAGCGCTTTTCTCTGTACTCAAAGAGCTTTACATATAAGGTGGAATCTCCTCAACCACCATCAATGTCCAGGATCCACCTGGATGATGCGACGGCAGCCATATTGCGCCAGACAACACACCAGCTTATTGGTGGAGAGGAGACCAATATAAGCCAATCAGTATATATATGGGGATGGTTAGGAAGCAATGGGCAAATTTGGCCAGGATGCCAAGGTTACATCCCTACTCTTTTTCGAAGGACATCCTGGGATTTTTAATGACCATGAAGTCAGGACCCCGGTTTAACGTCTCAATTGAAGGACGTTGCTTTTTTTGACAGTATAGTGTCCCCATCACTATATGGGCATTAAGACCCACGCAGACCACAGGGTAGACAGAATACTGCTTTTCACTAGTTTAACAGCAATCTGTTTATAAACCTCATCAGGTTTCCTTGCACATCAAGAGAAAGAATTTCGATGTTAGCTAAAGCTAGCGGAAACACCTCTCACCTCCACAACTGCCTAGCAAAATAAATTGGAGAGATATATAGATCAATACCTTGTTGTGATTCTGAGCAGTTCTCTGGGCCCAGCAGCATTCGATGAATTCAGAGGAGTGGTGCTGGTTAACTACAGACTGCTTCCTCTCTCTGCTCACCTGGCTGTTTCTGCTCCTGCATCGTTCTGGAAAAATCCTCGTCGGAGATGTCCGAAGGGCTCGAGTCTCCCATGGTGGCACCTGGAAGAAACTGCTCCATCAGCTGAAGGAGGCCAAAGCATAGTTCAGCTAACCAGCCAGACCTCTCTCCCACTGGTCACGTCCCCTCTGGCTGCCCCTTCTACTGTTTGGAGCTCTGGGATCTGACAACACAACCCTGCCAAAGTCCATTACATTTACTTCACCAGGTTTGCTAGAAGAGCTTGAGAGAACGTGTGTGAGATAGAGAGTCAGGAATGGAAAGAGTGACTTGAAATGAAGTGCTACCTGAAAGAAAAGGAAGGAGAAGATTGATGTTTGTATTCATGAGTTTTCACCTTGTAACCTCAGCTGGCTGTTACACTGATGGTGAGAAAGAGACATTCAGCACTGGGTTATTGCAGATGGTGTGGTTAACTAATTTTACAAAAATCCATTTAGATATGCTCCCATTGCATCAGAAGGTATCTTAACATGCTCAGTATAATCAAGCTTTTGCATAGTCGAGCTACAATGTCGACACAACAAAAAGAAAAATTTAATAATTAAATAGGCTACATGTGACACGTCACTGTCTTTCGGAGAAAGTCTACACTGTCGAGACCGGTTGTAGTCAGAAATATGTGTATTCGTGCTGAACGAGGCTGAGCTACAATCACAATATTTAGGTCTGTTAATTCGACTTTACAAAAATTAGACTGGTACAATACAAATTCAGCCAGACTAAATCATTTACATGGCATTTTACATTTACATTTTTGCATTTGGCAAATGCTTTTATCCAACATGACTTACATTCAAGGAATACATTTATGTATTAGTTTATGCATTCTCTGGGAATCAAACCCATGACCTTGCTGATGTGATGCTCTATTGTTTGAGCTACAAATTAAAATTAAAATAAATACATAAATAATTGCTTTAGTTCAACTCAAATTGAACTTTTGAGGTTCATGTAAATGCACTTTATAAAATAAATTACAATGGTTTACAGCGGTTGAGTTTGTAACCAATCCTCTAACTAATCACAGACAATTCTGTTTAATCTATGCAAATTGTCAATGTAGCATCCAAAAAGAAACCTTACTAAACAAATGCACTGGAATTATTTTGTATTTCCTATGTTGCATCATTGCTTGTGATGTAGACAGAACTAGAATGCTAACATTACAAAATTACACCCCTATTCTAAACAGTAAAGGCCCTTTAAGGCATATTTTCCTGTTGAAATTCCAATCCAGAATGAACTGTTACGATAGGATGGTGCTTTTATGGAGGAAAAACAATATCAACTGTCAGCTGATCCAAGCCTTGTCCCATAGGACAGTGTGAAATGGTGTGTGGACACATTGGACCGGAAAGTGCCAAGGTGACCCATCAGAACTACATATATTAGAAGTCTCTAAACAGAACCTGAATTAAGGTCCGGAGGCTTCTGGAATACCTGCACATCTTTCACTCTGTCCTTGGCAACATGGCTTGTCTCAAATGGTACTTTATGGAATATCTGCATATATATGTAAAGTTACTACATGTCGCATTTGAATAAACATAGTTATGCAAGAAAAGAGCGTACATCACCTAAAGCGGATAGGTAATGAGCATTTATGCAGGTTATGGAGAGCAATGCAGGAGAAGGACATCAGGTGGGAGGGTGTATGTAGATGTATGTGCGTGTGCATGTATAATTCACACACACTCTGAAATATATTTAAATCTTGGTGACAAATGTTTCTCCATCTTTTGTTGGTTCTGGAACACAATTCTGTCAATATTCTAGCCATAAACCACTAAAATGAGAGGGAAATTATAAGAATTTGAGGTAACATTACAATAGGTGTAATTGGTTAACATTAGTTAACATTAGATAGTTTAGTAATTTATAAGTAAACAATCAAAAATCTGCTACTTATTCAATGTACTTGATTAAAAGGAGCTACATTTTTGTCTCAACTACATTTTATTGTTTTTTATCCACTTAAATGTGCTAAATGAAAGTTTGTCTGAACAATTTTTGTTAAATGACAATTTGTTGTTGCATTTACTGACACTGGGTTGTGGATATCTAGTTCCCAAGATGTTTTGAATGGGTCTGGATCATGGGAGTAAATGTTGAAGTGTCATTTTATTTTATATATATGATTAATTAATGTATCACAAAATGTTACTGAATGTTGGTCAACCCCCTGACCTTATCCTAAAATGTTGTGCCTCTTTGGACCCAAGAAACCAGAAATCCGTCCTACTTGGCAAAATCATACTTACCTTTTGTGCTTTTTTTTCCAAATTGCACACATCCAGCGACTCTAATAAGAGGCTCAGAAGCATCTAAAGATTGTTGCATCTTTAAAAAAAACCCTGGAATAATTCCAGTAGCTCTAACCTCTCAAGAGCTGTTATACAAAACAGCGGTCCAATCAGGTTAATATAGGGAAACGTGCCAGAAACTGTGAATCAGGTTAATCCAGAACATTTCAGGAGATGTGAAAGGGCGTTTGTGTATCAGTAATTTCAGATAGAGTCCCATTCCACCAACACCGCTGTGACTGATCCAAATAAATAATGACATATCTTCTTTCTTTCGCACATTCTTCGCGGGACAGATGCTTGGTTAGGTGCGCTTTCATCCGATGTATCACCTAATCCACAGCAGATTTGTCTGAAATTGAAAGAAAGGGGAAAGGAAAAGGAAACAATTTGTGTGCGTTTCCCCCAAATGACACAAACAGCTTTTATTTCATCAGTTTGATTGTTATCACATTACAGAAAAGCCCCCCAGTCCCTCGAAGGGAAAACTACAGGACAAAAAGGGAGGAAGTCGACATGTTATATGGTATTGTTCCAGGGAATCGCTATATTTTTTTATCTACACTCACTGTCAACTATATTGCTCGCCTGGCCATATCAAACATATGGAATGAACAACATATTGCTGTCTCAGTAATATCTCCTAACTGCATGGGTGAATTATTGACTTAACTTCAGAAGAAACAATATCTCCCTCAGTATTCATGCAATTCACAGTCATTTTTCACTTTCATGCAATTCACAGCTGTTTTTCGATTTCAAACAGATAACGTGTGCATTTACTGGAACAAACGATCATACCATGCACAGGAACATAACATATACTCTGAGTTTTACCTATCTGTTAAAATATTAAGCATGTTTAATGGAATCCATGTCAGCACAGCAAGAACGTGTCTTTTCATTCAGGGTTTTACATACAGAAGCCACTGTTCGCTGTGAATCATTCATACTTCCCATGAGAGCCGGAGTGGAGTCTAATACACAAGCATCTATCAGCAGAACATGAGCACTTATCACTAATGGGGCCACGAAACTGTGTATTTGGACCCTGTAGATTTGCTTACATCACTTTAAATCGCGACCTAAATTAAGATCTAATGTCAGTTTGAAGTAGTGCTCATACTGGCCTTTTGTTCTTTATTGTGTTCGTTTTTATATGGGGTTACTCCCCCTCATGATGCTATTCTATAATTCAGAAGGTACAATCCCTGAAAGAATAGATGAAATATAAGTATAATGTAATTTATTAATATTACACAGAGCACTGCTAAAGTCCCTTTTAGGGACAGACCTGACAGGCAGCCATTAATCCCGTCTCGAGTCATCAAGTTGCTCTGAGCCACAGATTAGCATACATGCTAACGTGGGCCAAGAAGGCGTTAATTAGTAAAACAAAGAAATTAATTAGTATGTTTTGGGTGAAAGTCCCCTACGGAAAGCTGAGAGAGGAGAAGGGCTTTGCGGACATGCACACACATATTTTTCCAGAGTGCTTTCGGACTCCACAGGTGTGCCGATATGCCGGTCTGGAAGATGTCCGAGGGTCCAGCTGTCAAAATCCCCACCCTCGTCATTATCGCCAAGATGGAACACACCTGCACCTGTCGGCTCAGCGGGGGCTGACACATCCGACAACCCCCCAAAGTCCTAGGAGAGCCAGTCGCAGGTAACATCATGTTGCACAGCAGGGAGGCGGTGCAACTAAGCAGTCAGAGCTGCGTGGAGCCCATCTGTAGGACTCTTCCTCCTCGGAATGTGAGTAAAGTGAGATCCTGGAACTCCTTGCAAAGGAATCTTGTGCTGTGGGATCTTCAAGAAGCCGCATGGACTCTCACTCGGGATCAATTCCCTGAAACAAAGACTCTTAATGAGAGCGAGGGCTAGCGCTAGCCTTATACAGGGGTAAAAAGTAAGGACTGGTGGATAATTAAGCTGTCTTCAGATTCAAGAATCGCTATTACTTCATTAGTGTCCTGTCAATGGATTCATCTTGTTAGTAGAATGACGTGGGATTTAATATAGCTGGCTTGGTGGGACAGGAAAAGTGTTAATTTTTACACAATTTATTTCCTTCTGAGGAAAATGTCCTTCACATTTAGTCAATATTTTCTGTCATGTCATATTTTAGTCCAATTAAGTCTGACTGAAATGGCATATTTGTGACAAAATGGATGGAAATTAAAAAACGTTTCAAATTCTCAACATTTTGAAAAATCTATAAACATTTATTAATAATAAAGCACTATGAATTTGTTTTCTCACAGTGAATACAGTGATATTCAAATGGACCAGGGTTTTCAAGAACCCCCAAATATGATGATCCGTTGTTAAAAAATGTTAACGTTGTTAAAAACGTATTAATGTGTCATTGTACTAGTAAAATATATTGAAATATGTACTTAATTTTTTTAACATTATTTTTTGTGGTTCTTTGGTATAATATAATATAATTAATATTAATAAAACGAATAAATAATCAAATTACGAATGTTTTGGTCTATCACATTTTCTACGAACCCAAGTTTCAAAACCTCTGGTCTGGACCACTTTTATAATACCTTTATGATGTGTTTGTGTTCTTTTTGAACTTTGAAAAGTTCTGTCCCCATCCATTTTAAATGCATGGTAGAGAGTCTTCAAAACATCTCCTTTTGTGTTCTGTGGCAGAAAGCAGGTCAAACAGGATTTAAACAACACGAGGGTAAATGAATGAGTGAACTATCCCTTTAAGAAAGTGGGGGCTATTGAATGAGAAGCAGTGTCATGGGTGTTCCAAAGCATGATAAATCCACTTGGTGTTACTGGTCCACAGGGAGCTTTAATAATTGATGGAAATGGTACAAATTTATACAGTTAGCACAGCCAGACCATCATTTAACTGCCCTCTAGAATCCTAAATAGCTCTCCCTCGATCTCTGACAGGGCAGGGGGGTCTCCCATCAGCAGGAAGCTAAATGAACCCACCATGACTCTCCAGTTCAACTGCCTCTCGCAAAATTGCCTCTCCAACCACTTTCCAGATGGTTTTACGCACATGTTTGCATCTATAACAGTAACTGTGTCTGTGTTTGAAAACAGACTCGGGCGGACAAGCTTTCTCAAGGCCAAACTAAAAAGTCCGGGAAGGATGTCACCCATTTCCTGCTGGGGACTCGGCATCCTGAAAAACATGCAAATCATCCCTCACTCCTGCCTAAACTCTCGGAGACATCTGCTGGACAGACTGAACTCTGACCCTGACTTCAGAAGCAGTTAGCCTCAATGCACTCCAGAGGTCAGAGGGCAAACACAAGGGTGACAACAAATCTGAATGTGTTTAGGGCTGGCACTGTACCAGCTGTCCACAGGGACGACAGTGGGCACATTGACCACTGTGGGCTCTCGTTCCGCTTGCTCTTTTGTGCTAAACTCTCATACTTCCTTTCACTTAAAACAACAACAACAACAACAACAAAAAACAATCCTCTTTGGGAGGAAATGGCTTTGGTATTCATTGGCAAACAATTATAACCTTATCATGTACCTGTTGCTGAAGCAATTTCACACTTAATTTCTGTCAAGCTGTTAATTTCTCCTGAGCTGCTTTGTGCAACGTCTACTCTATTGTAAGGGAAAAAAGAGGGACGCAAATTAAATTACACAAAGAGGCGTAGGGGATTTGACTGAAACCCTGAGACTACCGTATGTCAGTTTTCATAATCACGAAAGAGGAATTAAATCTACTTGAACGTCTTCGAACTAAGATAATATGAATATTTTTCTGAATTAATTCAGTAATGGGCGTCCAGTTGTGTTGGAACTACAAAAAGTTAGTCTGTGCATGTAAAATCGGCATGAAATAAAAATCAGTCTGTGACAATGCCACTACAGATACATTTATACAAGTTATGTTTAAATATGTTAGATTATGTTTAGATATGTTAGATAGGCCACTGGAAAATCATTGGCTCTTATCATTAAACCATATCACATGACACGATATACAAACTGAGCATACATGAACAATTATAAAAAGGTTAACTTCGTTCGACGCTGAAACACAGTTAGATTACTGAAAACGGTTTCTATCAACCGTGGAGCTTTTCAGTGGCGCTTTAACACGAAACAGGAAACTCATGAATATTCATGCCCAGTGTCAACGAAAATCTCAAACCCCGAAGATTTCTGAAGTTTGTGAGCTCTTTAATTCATAAAATGATCCCATGATTGGGAAACCCTAAAAGGTTCTATATGTGAAGACCCTGACAGAACCCTTTAAGGTTCTATATAGAACTTTTTGTCATCCATTTCACTCGGATGTACTTCACAATACAGCAGAAACCATCTGCCGCTACTTCCATTTCATCGTGACTTTAACCAAAGTTCACTGTAAATGGTGTTCCTAACTATTAATATAAAAATCTTCTGATCTTCTGAATGCTTTTATTCTAGAGTTGCCTGTCTGGCATTGCCATTATCTGTACATACCATCTGTATAAGAAACCTGTTTGATCAAGTGAGCATCTGTTAAGAGCAAGACATCAAAAATGTGGAACTTGAAATGAAAAGACGGCCCCAGACGAACAGCTACTGAGGTTAAGAGTCTTAATGGAGCGTAATGAAACATAAAGAACAACAAATCACAACCTTAAAGACATTTCAAAAACAGCATTTGAAGTCAAAATCTTTTGTAACATTATAAATGTCTTTACTACCACCTTTAGTTAAATGTACCCTTGCTGAATAAATGTAAAAAATATATATATTTCTTTACAAAAAATCTTACTGACATCGAACCTTTACACGGTAGAGTATATACTATTTAACGTGAATTTGTATTGGGGAAAGAGGTTTACATTCCTCTACATAGAAAGTGTTTCAAACGATTGCCAAATGAACAATACATACAGAAGATCAGGAAGCTCAATATTCTTTCAGCACAGATGCAGCAGCTGCAAAGCTCCAGGAATCTAATTTGTATTTAATAAAAGTGAATCTGACATGGTTAATGTAATACAGCTGTAGCAGATGCAGTTCAGAGAACGAGAGACAGACAGCAAACCCCCTAATCATCCTCAGCATCTCTGTGGTCCAATCAGAGCGTTTTGATTGTGGGCGGGACATTTGGGAAACGAAAAAGAATTCGCTCAAAAGTTCAGGGTCTGTAGGGGTTAAAATAAGCTGAAAATAGGAATAAAAAACACATTTAGATCAAATGTTTGACATTTATGCCACTTTATATGAGCAGGGGTTGTATATTAAACCACATAACGTACAAACGTAGTGTATTAAAATTGAATAAGCGCAAATAGGCACGCTGTAATAAACAGCCAGACACTTACTATAAATCATGTTTGTCAAGTTTTATATTGTATTGTATCTATAAAATAGAGTCCAAATATCTAATATTACGCATTATAGGCCAGCATAAGAGAAGATAAATTTGCTTCACTCCCATCTGCTTAGAGACACACACACACAGTGAGAGAGAGATACACACACACACACACACCCAGCACCAGACAATTATAGGTTACATTTCAGAGTAGAATATTCATGGGAGTGGATGTCAGCACATGTCCTTGGGCCAGACGTCTGTTCTCAGTGTGGCCCAGACGGCCAGACATTCTTTCTGGTTGTGACAGTTTAATATAAGAGCAGTGCGCCCACGTCCACAGAACCAGCGCTAATATGACAGCTATACTAGCCACTTTCCGTTTTTCATATTTGCAATCTTACACACACACATCCTTTGTAACTTTCCATTTTACTTTCTCACACCCTCTCACAGTCTGCCAAATGAAACTGCTGTTTAGTTTTTGACCCCACCCAACCCAAATTGACCTCTCAGCACATTACTCTTTAATAAATTCCATATTTAGCCAAACATATATTTACATATTTGACCAGTGTTGCCAGGTTTGGGAAATTAGCGCACTATTAGTTTGAGTCATAAATCGCAATGGTGCGCTTACATAAACGTACATTTCAGTTGTTTCGTATTGTGTTAATTTTGATAAAATATGTCAGCCATCTAGCTATGTCAATTTTCTGATACATTTCAAATGACGCTCTTTGAATGTTACATTTACTTCAGTCATTCAATGTCCATAGCATGTTAAATTAAAAATAAGGATTTTTTTATTTATTTTTTAAAGAACATAATAAATTTTAAATATATTTTAAATAAATTATAAATGCCTTAATTATTGATGTCTAAATTATTTCATGTGTTTTTTAATAAATCTCCTAATTCTGTCCCAAAAAAAAAATCTGAAATTATTTTGGAATCCCTTAGAGGTCATTTTCTGTAGTGACAGTCATTATTTAAATGATTTTCTCAACAGTGGATTGGACTCGATACATAATTATAGGTCTATCATTAGAAAACAAAGACTTACTCCATTTTCATTTCATACATAAACCTTAAAATGATGGAGCAGGTCACATTTATGCAGATTTGTCTGTACTCAAAGCTTCAAGAACTGCTGAAAAACTAGGTTGAAAGGGGAACGGACCCGGTTTCAAAAGACAAATAGCAGATAACAACTGACATTTATACAGGATCAGCATCGGAGATTGAAGATTATCAACAGGCCTGGAGGAGAAAGAGCATTTGATGCTTTAGCTGCTGTTGCCGAGGAATCGGCTCTGAATCAGAAAACGCAATTTCAACACAACGGACAGATTCGTAACAGGAAAAGAAGACGACCCTTTAGAGAAATGTCCAGATCGATCGATTTCCTTGCTGTTGCATGAGGTCTGAAACAGAAATGGATGCCATTGATTTAGACTCACTGCTCTGACATTAAGAGAGAGTTGCGGTTTTGAAATTTTTCAAGCGTAGTGAGGCATACACATACACACACACACACTGCACAGCACGGGGCAGTACTTATAGATTAACTTGTCAATAACAACCAAAAATAAATGTAATTGTATATATGAGGCAGAATGCTTTATGGAAGGTTAAATGACAGCACAGTATTGGGTGCTGGGCCATGCCCATATACAGCCTTCAAGCCTCAAAACAATAATAAATCCTTGTCTGAGATCAGTTTTCTTCAACACACCCAGGTCATAACCATTGAAACTGTGAATCTGATCTTGTATTATCTTCATGAGGCTATCATAAGGCAGTATACATCATGCAACGAACAGGAAAGAAGGTACAGAAATCAAAGCCTTTTTCTGAAAACCAATTCTAAGCTAGATATGAGCTTTAGTATGGAAGCTTGTTTCCACCACTGAATAAAAAAATAAAATAATAATAATTGCGACTTTTTATCTCACAATTGCGAATTGTAAGAAATAAAGTCGCAATTGCGAGATATAAAGTCGCAATTCTGAGAAATAAAGTCGCAATTGCGAGATATAAAGTCACAATTCTGAGAAATAAAGTCGCAATTGCGAGACAAAGTCGCAATTATGAGAAATAAAGTCGCAATTGCGAGACAAAGTCGCAATTATGAGAAATAAAGTCGCAATTGCGAGAAAAAAAGACAGAATTGTGACTTTTTATCTCACAATTGAGAGTTTACATCTCGCAATTCTGACTTTTTTTCTCACAATTGCGAGTTTACATCTCGCAATTCCGACTTAATAACACATAATTGCGAGTTTATATCTCGAAATTCTGACATCTTTTCTCAGAATTGTGAGATATAAACTCGCAATTGCGAGTTATCAGGCCAAATCTAAGGGGGGGAAAAGACTAACTTTTTTCCCCTCAGAATAGTTTATATCTCGCAATTCTGACTTTATAACACGCAATTGCAACTTTATTTCACGCAATTCTGACTTTACAACACGCAATTGCAACTTTATTTCACGCAATTCTGACTTTACAACACGCAATTGCGACTTTATATCACGCAATTCTGACTTTATAACCTGAAATACCTTTATTTCAAAATACCTTTATTTCAATGCGACTTTATATCAATCAATTCTGACTTTATATCTCGCAATTCTGACTTTATATCAATAAATTCTGACTTTATATCTCGCAATTCTGACTTTATAACACGCAATTGCGATTTTATATCACGCAATTCTGACTTTATATCTCGCAATTGTGAGAAAAAAGTCAGAATTGTGAGATAAAAAGTCGAAATTACCTTTTTTATTTTTCATTCTGTGGCGGAAACAAGCTTCCATACTTTAGCTTAAAGGTGCTCTAAGCAATGTCACGCGTTTTTTAGGCCAAAACATTTTTTGTCACATACAGCAAACATCTCCTCACTATCCGCTGGCTGCCTGTCCCCCGAACACACTGTAAAAAAACGCGATCTCTGTAGACAGCCCAGGCTCCACAAACAGCAACAAAAACAAACTGGGCTTACCCGCACCACGAAACATAACAAACTGTTCCAGCCAATGACCGACAAGAAGGGTTTGGGCGGTTAGTGTGCGGATGAGGAGGAGGGAGGGTCTAGCTAGCCTCCGTTTTGTTTGACAATAGTTCGAACGTCAACAAGAAGTGACGTCACCCAGGATCGCTTAGAGAACCTTTAATGAAATCTTGCATGGAGCAAAAAAACAAACAAATATAATTAATTATTATATAAAATTAAATATTAAATACTAAAATTGAACAATATTTCACACAATTTGCTTTGGTTTTAGTACAGCCAGTTTAATTTAGAATATTATCTAAAATGTTTTTTTCTCAAACAAACTAAAATGGCTGATAAAAAAATTTCCCAATGAGGAGAGTGGCATATAGTGGCTCTTGGAAGTGTTCTGCTTCACATCAATGAAACACAAAGCCAGTGTGAATTATAAACAGGTATCTGTGATCCACGCTGCTTCTCTGCCATACCTCATACTGTCTACTTGTCTCTTTCTTTGTCTATCGGGAAATACAAATATACAGTATATTCTACATAACGCTTTAGCAATCATCTAAATCTGAGATTTGTGATAACCAGGCACATAGAATCAGCTGAGGAAAATCTGGGATTCTGTGGAACATTTAAACAATGTTACATGTGTTAAATGGAGCTGAGAGGACTACATTGGGTAACACTTTATTTTAATGTGACGTAGTTACATGTTACAACATGTACTTACTATAGTAATAACAGTAACTTATGCATAATTACAAGTAACTAACCCTAACTGTAACTCTACAGTAAGTAAGTACATGCAGTTAATTACTTATTTGAGTAAGTGCAGGGTAACTATGTCACCTTAAAATAAAGTGTAACCCTACATTGTTATCTAAAGTTGATAAAATTATCGTAAATACTTAATAATCGAACATGCAAAGGGATTGGGGATTTGTAGAACGTTGTGAATCCTGCAGGATTTTCTGCAAAATACTGCATGCGCAGATTCCAGATGTGGGCCTGGTAATATCATATTATGACCTATATAAATTCAGTCATTGATCTTCCCCTAAATGATCCGCATCTTATAGATGTCTCGATGGCTGATATGCATGAATTAATCATTTACCTTAAGACTTTGAACCATATGTGTCTCTTTTTCTTTGCCCTTAATTTGCAAGATCAGCTTGACTGGTTTGGAGCATGGTTTTCAGTTCTCTCCAGTTATGCCTTTGAAGACACATGCATTCATTAACAACAGCGGGAAAGGGAAACTTGTGTGGTCTACTTTTTTTCCACTAGTTATCGAACAGAAACGGTGAAAAAAAACGCTGAAATGTAAGACTGCCTTAGATTCTCACACTTTCTCACTTTTTTTGTCTCTCTCTTGCAAAGGCAAGCGACACAAAAAGATGGTGACAGCCACTTCCCTGTTACCACAGTTCCCTGAGCTCTCGTTAAAATGGCCCTCTGCAAAGCCACCACTGGAAGTACTGCAAAACCGCACGGTCTGACAATAGAGAGAGAGAGAGAGAGAGAGAGAGAGAGAGAGAGAGAGAGAGAGAGAGAGAGAGAGAGAGAGAGAGAGAGATAAAAGGCAAACCCACTCCGACATAAAAGAACTAGCGGTGTCTCGGCCAAAAAAAGCTGCTCTTAAAAAAAACACTACAAAGACTGGCGTGAGGCGACTGTCAACTAGCACGTGTATTCCGCACCTACGTTTAAGTAAATAACTGTCTATATCAGCTAGTATTAGTCTATATTCATCATTCGTAAAGAGAAACCCAAGCTAGGACTTCAGCTTGCTCATGCTTACCGTTTTGAATATCAATCATGCAATCACTTAGCTCTTTCCAGGTGGGTCATGTTGTCATGAAAATATTTGTGCATTGAATGCTCTGGTAAGATGACATAAATTAGAACAGCCTTTTGTCATTGCAGTCTTGACTTCTTTGCTCAGTTTCACTTTTATTCTCGTTCGCTAAGCTAAACAATCAAAAGTCTCTCTCTCACTGATGGTGGCGACACCGATATAACATGCTCAATCAGCCAAAAAGCCCTCGACGGGGTCCGACTAGTGCGGAACACTCCTCAAAAACTGGGCCGGCTGACACTCAACCACGGTCTGACGGCTTGGTGTGTCATAGGCTTTAAAAGACATAGTCCACTCAAAATATAACATCTGTCATCACTGTAAAAAAGTTGATGCCTTAAAATTTTTAAGTACAATCAACTTGGATGTTTAGTCATTTCAACTTAAATTACATTAAACTGACTTAAAAATTAGTTGAATCTTGTATAACATAAAACAATTTAAATGGCTTAACTTATTTTGATGAGTTAAAGCAATATAGAAACATATGTTGTCATAACTTATTGATCATATAATTTTTTATCAATACAAAACATGTATGAACACCAAAAGATCTTTTCTGAAAGAGATTTATACTGAACTGAAATTTAAGTTGTTCATTCACGTTTAGAAACGGCACATCAAGACGTGTCACGTCAGGTTTGACATCAACAATGCAAAACAGCATTGGTTCTCATGAGTCTCATAACCACGACACAACATGTTGTTCCCATCTATATATATTTTTTAATTATTTATATATATATATATGTTATTTTATTACAATTTGACAAAATAATGTAAACACCTATTATTATAGGGGTTAATATCATTTGGCTACAGTGAAAAAAACAAACCTTGCGATTATCTTTTATTTATCTTTCTGTAGTTTGTATATCAGTGCAGTATACAGTAAGTGGTTTTCAGCAGTGCTTTTAATGTGCAAGCCATGTATGAAATGGGCGACTTGTCAGACGTCCAAAAAGGAAAGAGCATCTGTAACCTTAACCACCCAATTCTTGTGTGTTTTACAAACAACATTCTTTATGATTATGACTGTGTTTACACAAAGCATGGCAAGACTTCAACAGCGAAGAAAAATAGAGGGCAAAAACCGAAAGTGAATGATAGGGACAGTTAACTGAGAAGAAGGATTGTGTCCAAACAACACAGAACAACATGACGACAAACTTCAATATTCACCCTGAAGACGATGTTTCCACAAAAACTGATCTCAGAAAACTTCACAAAGCCAACATCACTGAAGGAGCTGCACCTGCTAAAACTTTAATCTTAGACACCACTGCTAAAATGTGAAAAAGATGTGGTTATGATCATAAAACCTGGACAGGAGCACCAAGATGAACTTCTTCATCTGCCTTGTTCAGCTTAATCACCTTGACTTTTTTTGTTTGTTTGTGTAGGGAATTAAAAAAAAAAAGGTTTGAAATGACATAACAGAATTTAAATTTTTAGGTGAACTGTCCCTTTAAGAAAGGGCAATTGGAGATTATAGAAACAGCAGACGGTGGCAAGGACACCAAAAACAGAGGAGTACGAGCGTGGGGTGGGGGGAGGGGGACTTTTTCATCACGTAATAAGATCAAATTCATTAGACCTTTTATTTTATCTAGAAACAATCCCAGAGAGCGGGCTGGCAATTAACTGTCTTATTATACCCTATTAATTAAAAAAAGATATCTTATAGGAACATCTCATTGCGTTTTTTCAGTAAACCTTATTTGTAAGTCATGGTTCGTACAAACACGGAGATAAAGGACAAAAAGTGCGTAACGAGAAAGGGGAGCGTGTGTTAAAGGTTCCACAAGAGCGCACAGATTTATCAAAGCAACATGAGTGTATTACTCCCACTGCGTGAATCGCATTAATTGCTAACTTTTTTCTCTGAGCGATACATATCTTCGTTTGACCTCAGATAACAGATGCTCAACAATTACATATGCCTTTTTTTTTTTTGTTCGGATTTTATTGAACTTTTCTGAGAAATGTTTTTGTGATCTTGTCTTTCAGTTGTGCTGAGTGGGTTTGCCTTTCACACATGATTGATGGTTGAATTTAAACCGCTGATGCCCACCTGAGGACACTGGCTCTTCTCATAATGTGATTCCCTTGAAGTGTAAAGCGTCGCTATTCAGGCACATTGCAATTCCGACGCTGTCTGCCGATTCTTAGGGCAAGTCAGGCAAATATTAGTCTGTAATTATGTGCAAAAGACAATAAGAGGCAGTGTTAGCATTGAATTTTCAAATACACACACGTTCAGTCTTTGTGTGCCTTTCAACTCTGAAACTTTAAATTGGACTAATAAGTATTATGTTTTCTTATTAGTGGCCACAGAAGCCATTACGGGAAGGAAAATTAGATAAAAACCAACCTGCATTCAAAGCAATGTAGCATATAATGTATGTATATTACAGACTGCCTCATAATAGCAATACACACAGATGAGCAAGTCAGCCTGCTAGCGTATTGTCATTCACTGTGAAAGCCTGCACAAAAACACCAATCAAAAAAGTGTCAAGTTCAGCCAATGACAGTAAAGTGCGTGTTATGCAAAATGCATGAATAATTGAAAGTTCTACGCATGAAAGCCCACAACGTCCATTTTTCTCTGAATGCTGAATGAAGCTATACATCAGAGGAGTGATGTAAATTAGAAAATGTCGACAGGCAAACAAAAAACAAAATAAATAAAAAATTCACCTGGTGTGACGGGACTCTAGTAGTATTCAGACAATGGATGGTGTGATAGTCTGTATTTCAGTCGTTTCCTGGTTATATTTTAGGTCTTGTTATTGACTAAATTACATTTCTAATAGTTAGTATTCTCAATTGGACATTTTTTTTCTAACAAAATAGATTAGAGTCAGAGAAAAGGATGAATTACTTAAAGGGGTATTTGAAATTTCAGAAAGGTTCGACATATTATGCCCCTTTTCACAAGATGTAATATAAATCTATGGTGTCCCCAGAATGTGTCTGAAATTTCAGCTCTAAATACCCCCCAGATCATTTATTATAGCTTGTCAAATTTGCCCCTTTTTGGATGTGCGCAAAACGCGCCGTTTTTGTGTGTGTCCCTTTAAATGCAAATGAGCTGCTACTCCCCGCCCCGTTCAGAAGAGGGCCGATCCTTTACACGAGCTTAGGATACAATAACAAAACACACAAATATTTTCACTCATCCAAAATCTCAGAAATAACCAGTAGCAGTGCAGCCTTACGGAGAGACTCAGGAAGAGGTTGCAACTTTTAGATGCACTTAGAAGTTTCTGAATGGTTAGTGGATACATTTATGGAGTTGTTGTGGAGTTACATTGATTAATCTTATCGACTTGCATGTACCATCATGTTTAACTTTTACACAAGTTGACACAGTTCCCTGAGGTCTTTATAAGACAGCTGTGACATTTTTTGGTCTAATAGTGTTCTGTGCTCGTCTGTGAAGCCAACGAACGACAGAACAGTTTTCATGCATTGCTAGAACTTTTGCCATTGTGTTAGAACTGGTTACACTGTTGTCGCTTGTGAAACCAAATGGCGGTGCCGTGGGTGGAAACGCGCAGATTAAGGGGTGGAAATATTATAATAAGATCCCCTTCCTACGTCAGAAGGGGAGCGAAATCTGATTGGCTTATTTTTTTACATGCTTGCAGAGAAAGGCTTACCAAAACAAAGTTACTGGGTTGTCACTTTTCACGTTTTCTGTGTTGGTAGATGCACCGGAGAACCGATTATAACACCTAAACACGGAAAAAGTCAGATTTTCTTTATATGTCCCGTTTAACCTTATTAAATGTAACGCTGCTAAAACGAGTGTTTGTGGGCAATCGTTATCGTTTAAAGGATTCCATGGCTTTGCTAGACATGCATATGCACAACCCTAAGAGCATACCAAATGTTAACTACAGTTCATATATTTCTACCTTACTAAAAAGAAATATGACATAAAATAATCAACTGAACATTAAAGATACAGAAAAATAATTAATTTTAAATTAGCTAAAAATGTGCATGTTAAATTAGATAACTACAATCAATCAGTGCATTTACTTGAAAAACAAAAATCAACAAAAATAGAAATTTGTATATCAAACATGATACAGTAGGCTTTATTGGGTTAAACTAAAATTAAAATGAAAATAAAAGGTAATTAAAAATATCAATAAATATAAAAAAATATTTAAATAATCCTCAAATACACTGGATGTTATCAGATATGCACACAACATATATGTGCGCTATATAATCAAACGGAACGCAGATCTTTCCCTGATGATCCTCCAATGGCTAGTTCAGCAAGTTTTGTCACACCAAAAAACAGTTCCAGACGATTTTGAATTGAGATAAACGTGTTTGGAAACTCGCATCACGAAGCCAAAGATGCAATAAAGTCAGAGTTGGAAAGGTGGAGAGTCAATCTGCGGTGTAAACTCTGATTTATACGCTGTCATCTGAGCAGGTGGGTTCACACCAACATATTGAGTTCGAGTTCTGCTGTGACAAAATTACGCTTACACATTCGGAACTTAATGGTGATAAAGTTGGTGTCACCTAGTCATGGAATTTCAAGAATTCTAAACATGTGTTTCACATGTCTGACAGCATTTTTTAAATCAAGTTTTATCTCCAGTCTTCTGGTAATATCAGTCTAGTATTAAACTCCATTATTGGAGAAATCTGTTTTGTAACCATGGAAGTCCATTTCAGCATCAGAAAAAAATCCCAATAAAATATAATAAAATAAATATATAATAAAATGTAAATACAATCGTAATTATAAATTTGCCTCACCATTGCGACCAAAATCTGCTTCCATTTACAGTGAACAAAAGTTTATGTATTTCCATGCTAAACTCTGATTTAAAACCAGCATTTTACTGTTTCTCCAAGTATTGTAGTACTCCAGGTATATTTACAGTATGATAACATTATTGAAAGCAACTATGATCATAAGTCTTACCATCTGTTTTTCTGCCTGTCTCCATGTGCATGTCTTAGCAGAAGTCCACAGCCAGCAGAAAGAACAATTGCCTATATGTGCAGACAAACACAACAAATCATTTACTGTATATACATTGTAATGCATGCACTTTAATGTTCAAGAACATTGCTTTTTTGTATGTCATATTGCTTTGCATTAGAAATTCCCATTCGCTTGACTTTTCCCCTCCATTACCAAATGCTAGTACGCTTTGAAGCCGACATCAAGGTACTTACTGGACGCGGATCTTAAAGAGTCTGCCTTTAGCAGAGCTTGATAACTGACGCATAAACCGCTGTCACGGCGTCACAGAAAATGTGACATTTGCTGTGCAACACTGCGATTAGACAAGTCCAGCTCTCACATCAGTTTGATAGATGAAGTCTCTGTATGGTCTCTTTCAATAGCCAGCCTTTACATAACCCAAAATCTCAGTGAGGAGCCTTGTCAAATGTTCATGCTTGAGTTTTCTCTAACCATTATATTTTGAACTGCGGTTAAAGCTGATGTGTGTTGATCTCAAGACCTCGGCTGACAGTGTTTGGAGGCCTTTTTGCAACTCATGTTGTCATGAGATGTGAAAAACCTGCACATGATGAATTCCGCTGGGATCTTGAAAGCTTGGCGGTGCTGTTAAATCGCACCAACACTGGAATCTATATGGGATAATTGTATTCTGCTGATACTATTTTGATAGCACAATGTACCTAATGTTTGGAGATTATGGATGTGCAGTAACGATCATCTAATGGGATACAGTAAACAGTGTATAATTCATAACTGTAAAACTATACTGCCTCTGATCTCAATTTGAGAAATGTTTCATTTAAGCGTTCGTCATGACAAATGATATGTATTTTCCGGTTTGGTGCTAACAGCGTGGATTCGTGAGGCGTGCTGAATGAACAGTGTTGCGCACATCAGCAGGAGGAAGCCACATGTTTATAAACGCATGCTGTGATCTTTGCATGATGGGTATTCACGGATGCACCGCGTGTCTCATCTCGCTCTGTCTCGCTGCAGTGCGCTTTCAGAGAATTATAGTTCCGAATCTCTCTCCCATGGTGTTCCTTTTTTCTTCTTATGTCCTATTTACAGGGTATATGTTACCATTTAATGATTTTGAGAGGATAAATAGCATACGTATATCTTTCATACTTCAGTTGTTGTGTACAAACATCTGATTAACAATTTTTTTTTTTTTTAAAGCAGTTTTACATACAAACTTAAAAATTAAGGCTATGGGTTTTCGCAGTGATGCCATAGAATAACTATTCTTGGATCCCCAAAGAACCTTTCAATGAAAAGTTTCTAAAAGAACCATTAGTGTTTTAACATATTAAAAAAATCTAAAGAACAATTTTTTCACTATATATAAAGAACCTTTTGAGTAATGCAAATGTTCCATGGATGTTGATGTGTCTTCATAGAACAGTAGATGCCAATAAAGAGTGTGCATTTTAATCATAATCATCTTAAAGACATTTCTAAATGTTTATTTAACTGGAAACATTAGAGATGTATTTCAGATAAGCAATGGCTCTAAAACTTCCAGTTGAAGAAAAAGGTACATTTTTGAAAGGTGTCAACTATTACTTCTACTGCTCATCCCTTGCAATACAAGGAACGTGACTGGGTAAATTTCATAGGGGGAATTCTGATTTCATGCTCACTTCAATATTTGAATCTCAAACTCATTGTTTCTCTCTCATTCATGTATAAATGTTTTTTTACTGCATCCTACATGCCCTCCTTTTCTCTTTCACATATATGCACCCCCTTTTCTCCCACATCTCTCTTAGTTACACAATACATGTGTCTAATAATAGTGCAAATGTTTTACAGACCCATACGCAATCATGCTGTCAGAGAAAATGGTGTTTCAAGAGGAAAACACAGCGAGGAAAGAGAAGCATCAGCAGTCACCGTGGTAACAGGTAACACAAGGCTCATTCACTCTAACTCCATCCATCTTCAACAGGCACTTGTGTGTGTGTGTGTGTGAGAGAGAGAGAGAGAGAGGGAGAGAGAGAGAGCTCTCTAATGGTAATGATGATGTGTGTCAGGGTGTGTATGATTCACACACTCTCAGATGCTGTTGAGATTGGAGACCAGGCTCTCAGGAGCCACCAGATTAAAGCACCCACTACCACACAACACACATTTAAGCACAGGATGCAACATCCATTTCACACACACAGCAACACACTTCAAAGTTGCACAAGAAAACTGCAGCCCGAATGTTTTTTTTTTTTTGGAAGAAAACAGTGGCCCACTGTCTTTTATGAGAGGATTGTTTGATATACAGTAATATGGGGGGATGGGGGGGATATGTGAAGACCTAAAATTAGGGTCTGTCTCAGTCAGCTCCCTACTTCAGTCCACTGCCCAGTGAGTCAGCAATTACAGATCTTCTACTCATCAGAAATGGAGAACAATACTTTCAAACATATTTCTTAATGGCAATGTGTTTTTAAAGACCCGGTCCCAAAATAATTTAAAATTGGAATTCTGTGGCTTTTAGTCCATACTGATTAGCTTTGACGTGATTGATATGCAAGTGTAGTCCTAAACATTGACACAATTAATCTTTGGCACAAACACACATATATATATATATATATATATATATATATATATATATATATATATATAGTATTGTTCTCCATT